TGAGGGCGCCATGGAAACACTCCAAGACTGTATTGAATGCTCTGAATGGCACATTTTTAAGGCTGCAGAAACATATAACTTATTAAATATTGATGAGCATGCCAAGACTGTGTCCGCCTACATTAACAAATGCATTGAAGAGGTCAGCATAAAAAACAACATCACCATTCGGGCCAACCAACCACCCTGGATAAATTGAGAGGTTCGGAAATCGCTAAAAGCACGGAACTCAGCTTTCAAGTCCGGTGATAAAGAGGCACTAAGAACAGCACGTGCTAACTTAAACTGTGCCATCAGAACAGCAAAGCAGAACCACAGCCAGAAGATCCAGGATCTTTTCCACGACAACAGCAACACCAGGAGGATGTGGAAAGGCATTCGGATGATCACGAACTACAACACACCCTCCCCCCCAGTAGATGCAGCAAACACTGACCTCCTCAATGAACTGAACAACTTCTTTGGAAGGTTTGAGGCACTAAACAGCCTCCAGCAGTGAAAGCTGTTCCACACCAGGGGAAGGAGGCACTAAACCTGGACATAGCTGAGTGAGGAAAACTCTGAGGAGAGTCAACCCAAGGAAGGCCCCAGAGCCTGATAACATACCGGGCGTGTGTATAAGGAGTGTGCAGATCAGCTGGCTGGTGTCCTCACAGACATTTCTAACACCTTGCTGGACCGATCCATAGTGCCAGCATGCTTCAAGTCTGCCACCATTATTCCGATCCCAAAGAAGCCTCAGGTCACCTCACTAAATGATTACCGGCCTGTTTCACTGACTCTATGCACGATGAAGTGCTTCGAAAGGCTGGTTAAAGAACACATCGTCTCTAGTCTGCCGCCAATATTTGACCCGTTCCAGTTCGCCTACGACAGACACGCTCAACTGGAATGTAAACGCCACCTCACTGATCAAAAGGGCACAAAAGCACATGTACTTCTTGTGGAGAATGAGGAGAGCCCACCTGCCCTCGCCCATCCTCACCACCTTCTACAGAAGCACCATAGAGAGCGTTCTGACCAGCTGTCTGACCAGACTATGTTTATATTACTATTTTTTTATGTATTTATTACTGTTTTCAATGCTGCACTTTAAAAATGAAATTGTCTAGAGCTGTTTTATATGAAATTTCTTTTCTTTTCAACCTGCAGGTGATTTAGATGAGTGATAATTGGGAGCTGGAGAGAGTTAAGCAGGTGAAAGGCATGAGCAATTTGGTTGAGCTATCAGGGCAGATCATGACAGCCAGTCCTCAGCGCTGCAACAAGCTGTAGCTGTAGGGCCCCTACAGTAGGGGCACGCCCACCTGTCAGCTGCAAGTCATCTGTTCAAGAAGAAATGGAAGGAAACATATCAAGCAAGCAGGATATTGCTTACCACACCGCCGATCTGTGACACAGCCTAGTTAAGTTTCTGCTCACAAGGGGGAGTTTGCGGCTTACAGTTCAGCATGTCAAACTTCCTGACATACTTTGACTGTGTCATTTTAATACTGTCAGCATCTTGCTCAAAGTCAATGCCAAAAAAAGTGTCAAATTTCCTAAGTCCTTTCCTAAATTTGGGTGCAGCTTTCTCTTTTACATCTCTGAGTATTCATATCACTGGCAGCAATAATCAAATCATCAACCCATATAATGACAAACATAGTTTTTGTATCAGTAATCTTTGTCTAAACACAATGATCAGCTGGGTTTTGAACAAACCTAATTTCTTATAGGTAGTCATGTAACATTTTGTTCAAATTTCAACCTGACTGTTTAAGTCCGTACAGATATTTTTGCAGTTTATGCAACAGCCCACTGCTCCCCAAGGCCATGTGTTAAACGCAGAGATAAATTTCTTCATTGTGAGATCAATAATGTGAAGAGTTTAGTAAAAATTAGAGCGGAGTTATCTTATTAAAAATGTATATTTGGCTTTGAACATGTAATAATATTAATCAGCATTCATTGTCTAAAAACAGGCAGAATTATACCACAACTCATAATAATAATCATAGAAGAGGCCAAGGCCCTTGGTGATTCTGGATTAGTTATGGAGCTAAGGTCATTTTTTGTATGTTTGTCTTGTTTGTGAGTTTGAAGGTCCTTTTCAATTTGTGGAAAAACACTGTAGTTACTTGTGATATGTACTGCATCCTGTACTTTACCCAGTCGTAAAACAAACATGAAAATTCAACGCTGGTGAACTTTACCACCACTCTTCAAACAGTTTTGGGTATAAATTCCCCTCACCTTTTGCAGGAAGAAAAGAAACAAGCAGGACTGAAATCTTGTCTTGATTTTTTGTTAATATTTTTTTCCGCCTGGTGAGTAATTACATTAATATACATTAATATATTCTTTAATTGTGTAGGCTGGGGTTTCTCTATTGATCTGGGCATGTACTTACAATCAATACTAAAAATAGTACTACATGACATAATTTTAAGAAAAATCCGAGAAACTCTTAAGGGAATTATGTTGATGAAGATATGCTAATAGTGTGGAGGATATTCAGTAAGACCAGGACCTTAATTAGAGAAGATAGTAAGAAGAGAACATTTTAACTGTTCTGTGCAGTGCTTTAAACATTTAAGCATTAACACAAATCACTCATGTCACAAGCGACACTTTGGCCCTTCGCTTGATGTGCATTAAGTATGGATGACCAATCCTGCCATGATTAAAAATACATGAAGAAATAAACTCATAAATATGAATCTTTGGCGAAATAATCGCTTTAAGCGTAATATATACATATATATAGATATATATAGATATATATCTATATATATAGATATATATAGATATAAATCTATATATATATAGATAGATATACATATATGTATATCTTAAATATATTTTGAGTTTTTATCAATTAGTTGCATTTTATCTCACTTACTTGTCATTCATATTTATGAGTAATTTATTAAGCAATTGCCTCCATACTCCTTAGTACTCTATATTACTTAAGAGCATTAAAAATGCTCTCATATTGAACATCTGACTTTAATACAGACAAGCATCAGATTCCTTTTTGATGCTCAACTAAAATAAATGACATGAAAAATTACACTAAAGTACACAAAGTTGTTCTCAGCAACTAGTTGAATAACTCTTTAGCTGAAACTCAGTGCCTGGAATTTGATACATTTAAGCCAGTGTCTGAGAGGACACTGACAACCACTGCAGCCATTAATATTGAAGATTATGTCCTGAACAGCTAACACATACTAATTCTTTTTAATAACATACCTCTGTTTTGTTGTTCTTCCCATGAAAAAAAGACGAAACAGGAAATGGGTGGAGAAATTTCTCAAGAGGAAAAGCAAACTAGCCTGGACGAGTATGCAAACTCTTTCTTCCAGTCTACACAGTGAAATGGGTTTGGAATCGACATGTGAGTACCTTTGCCACAATACTAAGGCTGAAAACATTATTAAAACTTTACAGTTTATTAAGAAAAGGTCAGTCCAACACACTCGGGAGAATTAATTTTGGACTTGAAAAACAATTCAAATCACTTTTCTAACCAGGCTTTTCATGAAGTAAAACGAACAAGTAAAATAATTCTAGTAGTACTGTGGAGTATGGAGTTAATTTTTGAATCCAAGAGAAAGAATTATATGAAGTGGGAACATAATTTTGAAAATAGAATAAATATATTAGAGAAAACAATTGTTCATACTCATATCAAAAACTGATGTTATTTGAGAAAACATTTTCTCAAATCATAAAAGATAAATTGACAATTGGAAATTATTTCAGAAGAAACAAGGTTATCTCAAAAAATAGATTTTTACCCTCATATTTTGCTTTTTTTTTTTTTTGCATTCAGAGTGAAAAAGTATTATCTCAAAAGGAGATTTCTCTCTCAAAATCATTTTCTCTCTTAAAAAAAGTATTCAAATATGAAATGTAACAAGCGCAGGTAAAAATGTGAGGGAGGTTAGAATGAGATTGAATGCAGAGATCAATTAGCAAGAAGCCCAGTTAAGACAATGGCAATCCTCTCCTTTATAACCACAGCTCAGCCATATTTACTTCATCAGTAGCTGTTCAGATTCAATATGCATCCAATTACCAGATAAAATAGTCCATAAAACCTGAAAGTAAATATATCATACTCACCAGAAATGCTAATTATTTATAAACAAAATCCATCCTTCTGTCTGTTAATGTACCACAGGAGGTCTGGAGATGCTACGGTGGTGTAACTTCTAGGTCCTGAACGAGGAAGGTATAGAGGCAGTATCACTGTCACAGGGGTCTCTGGGCCTTGTTGATAAGGCTGGTAGCAGATAGGAAGAAACTGTTTTGTGGCGTTAGGTTTTGGTCCTGATGGACCGCAGCCTCCTGCCAGAGGGAAGTAACTGAAATAGTTTGTGGCTTGGGTGCGAGGGAACATCCACAGAGAACAGAGGAAAAGGTGCCTGAAGTATAAATTCATGAGTGCTGAGTTCGATTCATCCAGAGGGGGGCTGCTCATCCCTTTAGGGAGTTTGGCCATACTATGACGTTCACAAAGCATTTAGACTCTTTCTCTAAACTGTTTTTGGGGAGTGTTGGCCTAGTGGTTAGAGCAGTGCGTTTGTGAGAAGGTTGTAGTATGTGGTTGGATCCCCACAGCCTGAACAAAACACTTTAACCCAAACTGCTCACTGGGTGCCGCACAATGGCAACCAACAACCCAAGGGGATGGGTTAAATACAGAGGTAATTTTCTCCAATGTGAAATCAGTTCAGTTATTATTTTAAATCATATACAGTTAATGGATGTACTTGTAATAAATAAGAGATTTGTGTGTAATGATTAAACAGCTATAAACTTGTTTATGTGCCTTGGAGTTGTGGTATGTTTATGTAAAAAGAACAAAATACTTTAGCAAATAAATGTTTGAAAAAACAAACTATAGAGCTTGCACAAGCTGCATCTTATCAAACAAAAAATAGCTAAAATATAATTTCCCATGCAGGTCCCTGGAGAGGTTTTCTGGATACAACTCTGCTGCACAGCTGAGTTCTTACAGAGACCAGGTCTTATACACTGATGGAGAAACCGATATACCAACCATTATGGAGAAACTGGGTAGTCAAGTGGGAGGATTCGGCCCAGTGGCGAACGCTGTTGGATTGGGGGCCCTCGTCATTTCCTTGTTATTAGAGAACTTGGCTCAATCCATGGGGAAACCAACAATGGGCACAGCTGATATACTTCGAAGAGTTTTTGCTGAGGAGAAAGGCAATGAGGTATAACCTGAAAAAACTCTGCCAGTATGAAGAGAGTAGTCTGTTGTCCCAAGTAATATGTTTTAATGAAGCTCTAATATTTTGATTCTCATTTGGACAGGTGCGAGATCTCATGGACGAATATATGAAGCGTATGATACTCTACTTGAGGCAACAGCAGGACCTGATTGCTCACACCCGGCATCTAGAATCCCAACTTAGCACTCAGCTCACAAGATTAAGGGTAATTATATACCGTAAATCCTCTAATATTGGCCTGTATTCCATTTGTCATGGTGGGTTTAGGTTCCCAACCCACATGCAGAAACACTCAGAGAGACAGATAAAAAGTTCAAAAAGTTTATTGAACAATGATTCAAAATGTGCAACTGGAAACGGGGTCGGTCCAACTGGTCTCGGGAGGGTCTCCACTAGGAGGACAGAGAGGTTAGAAGATGGTTCAGGAAAATCCAATGGTTGACTGAGGAGTGAGCTAAATACCTGCTTCGGGTGAGCAGAGCTGCAGAGGGGTTGGTACCCGGAGGGTTAGGAGGTCTGTCGGCTGGCAAAGGCTGAGGGCTAAGCAGAGACTGGTTGAGTTTTGGCAGAACTGATACCAGAAACTGGGTCCGGTCCAGTGCAGGCAGGCAGGTTCCAGAACTGAGTCAGGTTCAGTGCAGGCTTGACAGATTTCAGAACAGAGTAACTTCCTGGTTTCAGGTTTCAGACAGATCTGGTTCTGTTGGCAGAGAGAGAGAAGAACCGGATCAGGCAGGATCAAAGAATACACAAGGCAAAATCAGGCAGGTTGGCTCAGGTCTAGCTGTACCATAGCTGGCTAACACTCTGGCACTGGAGTGGAGCCCTCAGCCTCCATAAGTACTGGTCTTCTGATAAGCAGATGAGGATCAGGTGGTGCAGTCAGCTCCAGCCTCAGGAGATCCAGTACGCCATCTGGTGGAGAAAGGTGGACAGACCTCCAGATCCCAACACCATTAGCAGCCGGGTCTCTAATAATAGCCTGTCTGGCTGTCGGTGGAGGTAAATAGTGCCCGGACTCGTATACAGGCTATAATTAGAACCAACGATGTTCCTGGGCAGTCCTCAACAACTTGCGATAGTAACATACAAGTACTACAGGGGGACAGTGCCATTAGCAGTGCCGCAGACAGGAGGTTGGCTTGTTTTGTTTTTATGACCAAAATTGCAGAAAACAACTCGTGAAGTTGGACCAGCTAGAAGATCGAGGTGCGTGAGTATAACCAGCCACACAATTGTTCTGATCTGAAAGACAAATGTGATCACAGTTAGGTCATTGTTCTGAATTTCCCTTGAAATATATGATACTGGTAGCCTACTTCCACTTAGCCTGCCTCAAATAAAATTTCGCTGTGATGGCAGAACAATTTTCACACATTTTATTTTAAACTTTGCTTCGCAAGTCAGTTTTGCCAAGATTCTATTCTGTGTCTTTTTTTTCGTATTGCTGTACAGAAAAATTGGAGCTGCAAAATCTAATTTTTATTCATTCCAGTGGTACTGTCATGATGTCTTTAAGAGATCTGACCCACTGCAGGAAACCACTCAGAGAGCCAGAGTAAAAGTTTAACAGGTTTATTGAAATAAACAATAAGGTTGATCCAGGGTAACTCAGAGGGTTGGTGAACCGGAACTGGAAGTGAGAGGGGAAGTTCAGAGGTCAGTTCAGGGTCCGTGGGAACTTTCAGCAGTGTCTTGCAAAAATCAGAGATTAACGGGACTCACGTTAGCAAAAAAAACTTTCTCTTCCCAGAATCCAGTCCATGTGGGTTTATCCAGAGATTGGGGGGCTCGTTGGAGGGCGGACAGTTTTTTGGTTTGGTTGGTTCCTTGAGGAGCAATGGAGCGGACTGCCACTTAGATTTCCAGGAGAACTTGAACGGGTCATGTGGAGATTAATCCCTTGCTCAGTGCAAAGCTCAAAACAATCCTTCGAAGGGGAGAAGGCTAAAAATCCATCCACCTGGTGGTGGAGGAAGAGAACAAAAAAAAACAAACACAGCCCACACACACTGGATTTCTAACAGGTAGTCTGTTTTGTTTAAATAGAAATAGAGGCCTACCTCTAATTCTGGCCTCCTTCCAATAATGGCCTGTACCCCAGTGAAATAAAGTCCCCGGCCTATATTAGAGGATTTACGGATTAGATTTTTTTTAATCTTCCTTATTGGTCTCATGCTGCCTCATCAAGTCTTTCATGTCCATCCTTATATAAAGCTTAATATTTTTCTTCTTTTTTCACTATTATTGTGTAGTTGTTTAAGTCTCCAATTTGACTGCAGGGTACCTGGCAGACATGTTCACAAGTCATTTTTTGCAAGTCCAAGTCAAGTCTCAAGTCTTGAGAGCTCAAGTCCAAGTCAAGTCTCAAGTCTTGAGAGCTCAAGTCCAAGTCAAGTCTCAAGTCTTGAGAGCTCAAGTCCAAGTCAATTCTCAAGTCTTGAGAGCTCAAGTCCAAGTCAATTCTCAAGTCTTGAGAGCCTAAGTCCAAGTCAGGTCTCAAGTCTTGAGAGCCTAAGTCCAAGTCA